TAGCGATGACCCAGTCCAGTCCACTCTAATGATACGGAAACAGACGCAGACGGATCTACAGAGAAAAGGGAGCAGGGAGCATTTTATTGAGTCCCCACTATGTGCCAGAAAGGCACTATGCTAGCTTTTTCAATGGAGTTTTTCACAAGTTTGTTTCATTTTTATAACAAGCCTTCAAAATGAATAACATTAAAATCAGTTGTATAGATAAGGAAGTGGAAACTAAGAAAATTAAAGAAATTTGCAAAGTCATTCAGTTAACAGGAAGTGGATCCGGGGTTGAGTCTGTATTCTAACAACAATCATAAATTGACTGTCATTTGTTAAGTGCTTACCACGTGTTGGGCATTACACCAGGCTGGCGGGCGGCAGGCAGCGCTCCTGCCGGGGACCCGGACGCCCTCGGCCCGGCCCGCCGCGGGCATTGTTCCAAGCGTTCTATTTTTTATTAACTTATGTAAAAGCTCCATAAACACCCTAAAGCAGGCAATAGAGTATTATGCCCGTTTTACAGGGGGAGCCCAGGTACAGAAGATACAACTTCCCTGAAGGCCACCCGGTCAGCAGATTCAAGAGTCTTGGACTCTAGAGCTCTCTCCAGAATCCGGTACACAGAGGGACACAAAGCAGGGGAGGTCGTTATTGTTTAGGTAGGAGGTGAGCAGGCCTGAAATGGGGATTGGGAAGAAGGGACACAGATTTCAGGAGCACTTCCGATGATCTCTGGATGGCAGTGGACAGGGAGCAGAGGAGGATGAGAAATTGAACACAGTTGCATCTGCTCTTTGCTTCGGGAACTAAGTAGATGGTGACATTGTAAACTAAGACCTGGAATGGAGACAAACTGGTATTGCATTTGTGCCATGTTACATAGCTGGCATTTAGCTGTTTCTCCACTTAACTGTTTAAACAGAAGAGAAAGAATCGTGTGTCCTCATTTTCAGCGACAAAAAAAACCATTAATAGATTGTAAAGAAAACTTTCAATGGAATTTGAAACCTTGCCGGCCTGATATCCTGTCTGTAGGGCAATACTACATATATTTGTGGCTTTAGGATGGTAAAAGACACAATTCTCTACTTGATTAACCCCTTATTTGTGAATTATTCACTGGTACTCACCAGGGGTTGACTGGCAAGGATACACTGGTGAAGGAGATAGACCCAGTCCACGCCTTCAGAGAGCTTATATTCAGGTAAGGGAGACAGGCAATAAATAAGGAATCAAAAAATTGGATTGTAGAAAATACTACAAAGAAGGTAAGTGTGAGTGCCGTGGCAGAGCATGAGGTGGGGACTCCAGGACACCCAGCGGCTTCTGTAAGATGCAGAAGGTGTTTGGTTTTTATCCCAAGTACAATGGGAAGAAAGGATGATTCTTGAGAAAGGTATTAACGATGTATGATGCGTTTTTTGTAACTTGTTCTGAATGATTCTACGCCCCGTGCAAGATCATGGGGACACGAGTGGGGCAGAGAAGCTGGCCTGGAGGCCAGAGGCAGAGTGCAGTGGAGGCCAAGACAGGTGGGCAGAACCTGAAATACGTTTGGACGGTAGCTGGAAGGCTTTTGGAGAAGATGGAGAAGAAAAGGGGAGCTCATGGTGACACCCGGGTTTCTGGTTCAGACCACTGGGGAACAGGGCCGCTGTTTGCCAGCATTGTGGTGACTGGAGGAGGAGTAAGGTGTGAAGGAAAGTGAGGCACTGCTTGCACAGGCACGTGTAGGCTTGTGCCAAAGCTCACAGTGCAGGGCTCTGAGCTGGGGATGTGAAAGCCCGATTCGTGACAAGTTGTCACGAAGAGCAAAGGCGTCTCCACGCGTCATTTCCCATCGGCAGCACCGGGAAGATCATATCTGTCTTTACTGCTGCAGAGACGCTGGGAAGGTCAGTGAGGTGACATACGTGAAACTACTTAGCAGCCCTGGGAAGACAAGAATGGCGTAAGCCCAGGTTTTCATCGTTACATGCAAGGCCCGCCCCTGGTTCTCACGGACCCGCCTGGAGTGGGCGCAGGCCCACCGCTCACCGTCTTGCCTTCCCGTCCGGGCCCCTGAATGCTTCTCTCTGCAACTGCTCCTTCCCGTTCCGACAGGGTTTTGCAGGATTTAGTTTATCTCTTTAAAGACCCTGGGAAGAAAGGATGTTGTCCAGAATAACCCTGCCTGGGTAGTTCTTGCCAGATAATAACGACGGGACCCTTTTTTAAGTGGAGATGCGCAGAACCAGCACGGTGCCTCACCGGGTCCCCCAGCAACTCTCTGAGAAAGGTAGTATTTTTTCACCATTTGGCAGAAGGAAGATGGCTCGAGATGGTTGCCCAAAGCCGCATTTGGGTAGTTACGGCCAGTAGGAGTCGTGTTCTAAGAAATACAGAGAACTAGCAACGGGGACGGTCAACGAATGGCAGCCGTATCCCAGATTATGTCCATGGCCCGTGCGGGCCTTCGATCACCGCAGTGTGGGCACCCCGCCTTCGTTCCTTGCTAAGGGGTGTGACTAGTTTTTCCCAAGGGCTTCACCGTCCACCCACGGCCTTGTGCGCCCTTCTCTGCAAAGACAAACCGACAGAAAACCAGCCGGAAAGCAGGACCGAACCAAAGCGGTCCCTCCTCCCTGGAGGGATTCCCGCCGGGGGACAGCCGCGCAGGGAGGCCCCGCAGCGCGAGGCCCAGGCAGTGTCAGCCCTGCGGCCCGTCGGGCCCCGGCGGCCTCGGCGGCGCGCGGACCCCCGAGTCCCGTCCCGCCTGCTGCCGCCGAGGCGCGGCGCGCTGTCGCTCCCGGTGCTGGCGCGGCGGGCGGCTGCCGCCCTGCTGTCCCGCGCGCAGTTCCCCTCCGTCCGGGCCGGGCGAGCCGGGCCCCTCCGCGCCAGGCTGGCGGGCGGCGGGCAGCGCTCCTGCCGGGGACCCGGACGCCCTCGGCCCGGCCCGCCGCGGGCAGGGCGTGTGTAAGCGGGTGGGAAATGCCGATGAAACGACTTTGGGGCAACGGCAGCATCTTCCCGTTTTCCCTCCGACCGAGTCTGACGGCGAACCTCCGAGCCCGCGGCCCGCCTTTCCGAGTCCCCAGGTGCGCCCCGGCCCCCGGCCCCCGCCGCCCGCCGCCTTGCCGGGAGCGCGCGCCCCAGGCTCCCGCCCTCGCCGCGCCCCCTGCGCCCGGGCCCGGCCTCCGCGCGCGGCACCGCCCCGGGGGAGGTGCTGCGGGTCGGGCCGCCCCCTGGCGCCCGGGCTCCCGCCCTCGGCCGCGGGAAGTGGGAGGT